AAAAGGCTTCGCCTGCCTAGAGGTGTTAAAGCAAAAGAGGCTTTCTGACAGGTTTCTGTAGTGTAGCGGTCATCACGATCGCCTAACAAGCGCAAACTCCTCGGTTTGAAACCGAGCAAAAACAGCTGCAGCTGTTGAAGAAAAGTATGAACGCTTTGCGCCTTTATTGGGCTTTAGAAACTTTTACCTTTATGCGCTTTTTTCCGAGCATGAACCTAAAGATTTCGGTCTGCTCCGTGCAGGCAGATTTCCGTAGTGTAGTGGTTATCGTGTTTGCCTCACACGTGAAAGGTCCCCAGCTTGAAACTGGGTTGGAGCAGTCACTCTCTTTTTCACAATTGTTCAATTGGCTTTCTGTTGAGGAGGAACTCAACACTACAAAGACTTTGCAGCCAAGAAGCATGAAGACAGTCACTAAAGTTGAAGTTGATGCAAACAGAGGTTGCTTTAACACCTCTAGGCAGGCGAAACCTTTTGTAGCGTTGAGTGAGAACGCAACAGACCAAGAACTTAAGCAACCTTGGAAAAAGGAATCGTTGTTTCCGCCCAGTTTCGAACTGGGGACCTTTGGCGTGTTAGGCTAACGTGATGACCACTATACTACAGAAACACAAGAAGTTTACTCTCGTGCTCTTTCGGGTAAAATTTATACTGTAATCCGCCCTGAAAGCAGATTGACAATCTGAGTAAATCCCACACCACAAAGAGTTTCTGCATTCCCTCAAAAATAAAACTCTGTTTCTGCTCAGCTTCGAACCGAGGACCTTTTGCGTGTTAGGCTAACGTGATGACCACTATACTACAGAAACTCAAAAAGATTTCTCTCGTGCTCTTTCGGGTAAAATTGATACTGTAATCTGCCCTGAAAGCAGATTGACAATCTGAGTAAATCCCACACACAGTAGGACAGAGTTCATTCGGCGTGGCAGTCTGCTCAGAGTTCCTTAAAAACTTGCCTTCTCCTACCTCGAAATTAAGGTCTTTGCAGCTTGGACCACCTGCTTACCAGAGAGCCATTTCAGCACAGATAGAACAAAAGTCTCCAGCTGTTTCCACCCAGTTTTGAGCTGGGGACCTTTTGTACTCAGACAAATATCTTCTTTTGTGTTCCACAGAAAAAAGCCACACAGGTTTGAAAAGGCACGAGTGTGGGTTAGGTTTTGGTCAAATTATGACTGCACTTTCATTTTTGCATCAACTTCAACTATAGTGACTGTCTTCATGCTTCTTGGCTGCAAAGTCTTTGTAGTGTTGAGTTCCTCCTCAACAGAAAGCCAATTGAACAATTGTGAAAAAGAGAGTGACTGCTGCCACCCAGTTTCAAGCTGGGGACATTTCACATGTGAGGCAAACGTGATAACCACTACACTACGGAAACCTGTCTGTATGAAACAGACCGAAATCTTCAGGTTCATGCTCGGTAAAAAGCGCATAAAGGTAAAAGTTTCTTAAGCCCAATTAAAGGCGCAAAATGTTCACACTTTTCTTCCAAAGTCTGCAGCTGTTTCTGCTCGGTTTGGAACCAAGGAGCTTTCGCATGTTAGGCAAACGTGATGACCACTACACTACAGAAACCAGTCTGAAAACCTCTTTTGCTTTAACACCTCTAGGCAGGCAAAGCCTTTTGTAGCGTTGAGTGAGAAAGCAACAGACCAAGAACTTAAGCAACCTTGGAAAATGACACCCTTGTTTTCGCCCAGTTTCAAACTGGGGACCTTTTGCGTGTGAGGCAAACGTGATAACCAATACACTACGGAAACCTGCCTTTAGGAAAAAGACCGAAATCTTTAGGTTCATGCTCCGTAAAAAGCGTATAAAGGTAAAAGTTTCTAATGCCCAATAAAGGAGCAAAACGTTCATACTTTCCATCAAAATGCTGCAGCTGTTTCTGCTCGGTTTCGAACCGAGGACCTCCAGCGCGGCAGCCGAAAATAGTTGAACTTAACTTCCCTTAACTTTTCTCCTTCATTCTCTATGGTAGTGCTTATCACTACAGATGCAATATACCTTTGGCCACACGTAGACTTTATGGCGCTGTTTCGTCTTTTCCGTGGTGGGGAATTTAAGAAGTGCGGTGTCATCTGTCAATCATTCGTGTTCGCTGTGGAGGAGGGGAGACACGTTTTACCATCGGAGAGGTATTTGTTTACAGAATTGCCAGATCAAAAAAACTT